CTATGACGCCGGCATCCCATATGGGCACCGGGTTCTAGTCCCGGTTGCTCCTCTTCCAGTCTAGCTCTCTGCTGTGGCCCGGGAGGGCAGTGGAGGATGGCCCTAGTGCTTGGGCCCTGCACCCTCATGGGAGACCAGGAGGAAGCACCTGGCTCCTGACTTCAGATCAGCGCAGTTCTGACTGTAGCGGCCATTTGGGGGCGTGAACCAACAGAAGGAAGACTTTTCTCTCTCTCACTGTCTGTAACTCTGTCAAATAAATTTAAAAACAATTTTTGGTCCTCCTCCAAAAGGAGCTAGTTTTTGGTTTTGGAGAGACAGACAGCACTCTCCTCTACTTTCCTAATGCACCTGCAAGGCTGGGGCTGGGCCAAGCCAGTCAGGAGCTGAGCCCTCAATCCTGGTCTCCCTGGTGAAATCGAGCCCAGGTAGCTCTAACATGGGTGCAGGTAGCTCAGGCAGTATCTTAGCTGCTATACCAAGTGCCCACCTAGTCCTCTGTGTTTTGATTACAGCTGTTTCTCTGTTATGTAGAAATTTAATAGTTGAAATTATCAGTCGTACTTGGAGAGCCATTCCTAGTCTGAGATTATAAAGAACACTGTAAACAGAAACAGCACAGACTGGGCGTTTTGTGTACTGGTCCCACCACTGGTTAGGACACCTGGGGCTGATGCTGTGGTGTAGCCAGTAAAGCTGTGACTGCAGCACTGGCATCCCAAACAGACACTGCCATCTTCTACTGCTTTCCCAGGCCAAAGCAGAGAGCTGGATCAGAAGAAGAGCAGCCGGGACTAGAACCAGCACCCATATAGGATGCTGGTGCTTTAGGCAAGGACTTTAACCTGCTGCACCACAGCGCTGGCCCCTATAATGAAATTTCAAATGATGGAACAGAAAACATGATCTGGAGACACAGACATACAAAAAATTGTAAGAAACAGGTCAGTGCTGTGATACAGTGGGTTAAGACACCACCTGCAGTGCTAGCATCTCATATGGGTGCTGGTTCAAGTCCCAGCTGGTCCACTTCCAATCCAACTCTCGGCTGACGTGCCTGGAAAAGCAGTAAAAGATGACCTAAGTGCTTGGGCCTCTGTACCTGCATAGAAGAACTGGAAGAAGCTCCTGGCTCTTGGGGGCCTGTCCCAACTCTGGCTGTGGTGGCCATTTTGGGGGAGTGAACGAGCAGGTGGAAGATCTTTTTCTCTGTAACTCTGCCTTTCAAATAAATACAAAAGAAAGGAAGAAAGAAAGAACTAAGCAGAAGATAATATGAGCCATTAGGTAAAACAAACATATAGGGGTCAGTGCTGTGGTGCAGCTGGTAAAGCTGCTGCCTAGGACGCTTCAGATCAGCACAGCTCTGGCCATGTGGCCATCTGGGGAGTGAGCCAGAGCATGGAAGATCTCTGACTCTGCCTGTCAAGTAAATAAATCTTAAAAAACACACACAAACTGGGCCAGCACTATGGCTCACTTGGTTAATCCTCCGCCTGTGGCACCGGCATCCCATATGGGTGCCAGGTTCTCGTCCCGGTTGCTCCTCTTCCAGTCCAGCTCTGATGTGGCCTGGGAGGGCAGTGGAGGATGGCCCAAGTGCTTGGGCCCTGCACCTGCATGGGAGACCAGGAGGAAGCACGTGGCTCCTGGCTTCAGATCAGTGCAGCGCCTGCCGTAGCGGCCATTTTGGGGGTGAACCAATGGAAGGAAGACCTTTCTCTGTCTCTCTCTCTCACTATCTAACTCTATCTGTCAAATAATAACACACAAATAAATCAGTCCTCTATCTGCTGGTTCACAGGCTGGATCAGGCTGAAGCCAGGTGCCTGAAACTGCATTATGGTGTCCCATGTGGGCGGCAGGCACCCAAGTGCTTGGGTCATCTTTTGCTTGGTCCTCCTCTGCATGGTCCCTCTTCTGCTGCGTCCTCCTCTGTGTGATCCTCCTTTGCTTGGTCCTCCTCTGCTGGATTCTCCTGTGCTTGGTTCGTCTTCTGCTTGGTCCTCCCATGTTGGGTCCTCCTCTGCTTGGTTCATCTTCTGCTTGGTCCTCCTCTGCTAGTTCCTCCTTTGCTTGGTCCTCCTCTGCTGGGTTCTCCTGTGCTGGGTCACCCTTTGCTTGGGTCATCTTCTACTTGGTCCTCCTCTGCTGGGTTCTCCTGTGCTTGGTCCTCCTCTGCTTGGTTCATCTTCTGCTTGGTCCTCCTCTGCTTGGGTCATCTTCTGCTGCGTCCTCCTCCGCTGTTTCTCAGGAATCAAGACGAAAGCTGTGCCCGGAGCAGAGCCTCCAGGACCGGACTGGCACTCCCATATGGTTTGCCTGGTTGCAAGTGTCAGGTTGCGTTGGCCCCTGGCTTTGTTAGTCTGCCACAGAGACAATTTCACTAACTCGTCACATGAGAGCGAACCCTGGACCTACTAGGGATTTGTGGGCGACACCTCATCGCCCAGGGATCCCTTGGCAGGCAATCCAGCTGCCGTTAGCAGGAGGCTTGGGGTGATTTCCAGTGAGTGGCCTGCCTGTCCGGGACTCCTCGGGCCTCGGAGCCTGCAGACACGGCGCTCTCGCCCCAGGAGGCCCCATCTTCCGCGCGCCACCTCAGGTCCCCGCAAGCACTCTCAAAGCTCAAAACGGCCATAGCCGTTCCTTTCTTGCTTTCAAATTTCCGAATTAAGTTCCTTTCACGATGGCATAGGGAGACGTACATAGCACACTCCTGCGAGCGTGGAGCATTCTCCCCAACGCTCGCACTCCGGGAACCGGAGCTTCCTGCCTCTCCCTCAGCTTCCCGCATCTCCCTCAGCTTCCCGCATCTCCCTCGGCTTCCTACGTCTCCCTCAGGTTCCTGCCTCTCCCTCAGCTTCCTGCCTCTCCCTCAGCTTCCCGCATCTCCCTCGGCTTCCTACGTCTCCCTCAGGTTCCCGCTTCTCCCTCAGGTTCCTGCCTCTTCCCCGGCTTCCTTCCTCTCCCTCGGCTTCCCGCGTCTCCCTCAGGTTCCTGCCTCTTCCCCGGCTTCCCGCGTCTCCCTCGGCTTCCCGCATCTCCCTCGGTTTCCCACGTCTCCCTCGGCTTCCCGCGTCTCCCTCGGCTTCCCGCGTCTCCCTCGGCTTCCTTCCTCTCCCTCGGCTTCCTGACGGTCTCTCGGTTTCCCGCATCTCCCTCGGTTTCCCACGTCTCCCTCGGCTTCCTTCCTCTCCCTCGGCTTCCCGCATCTCCCTCGGCTTCCTTCCTCTCCCTCGGCTTCCCGCGTCTCCCTCGGCTTCCTTCCTCTCCCTCGGCTTCCCGCATCTCCCTCGGTTTCCCACGTCTCCCTCGGCTTCCTTCCTCTCCCTCGGCTTCCTGACGGTCTCTCGATTTCCCGCATCTCCCTCGGTTTCCCATGTCTCCCTCGGCTTCCTTCCTCTCCCTCGGCTTCCTGACGGTCTCTCGATTTCCCGCATCTCCCTCGGTTTCCCATGTCTCCCTCGGCTTCCTACGTCTCCTTCGGCTTCCTGACGGTCTCCCGGCTTCCCGCATCTCCCTCGGTTTCCTACGTCTCCGGCTTCCCACGTCTCTCTCGGCTTCCTGCCTCACCCTCGGCCTCCTTCCTTTCCCTCGGCCTCCTTCCTCTCCCTCAGCCTCCTTCCTCTCCCTCGGCCTCCTGCCTCGCCCTCAGCTTCCTCAGCCGCCAGGCCGAGCAGGCCCCGCAGGAGGGGCGGCGCCGGCCGGCGGAGCCGGGGCCACTGAGGACGCCTAGCGCCTGCCTAGCTCGCTGATGAGGGACGAGTAGGACGGTTTCTTCGACCCTGGGCAGACAGTAAGGAATTACAAAAATTTATTGGGCTTCAGTGCCAGAATGGTCTAAGACAACAGTAAGGATATCCTAACTGTGGGGAGCAACTGAGACTAGACTAAATTACTGGAACTAGGACTAATTCTATCCATCTGATCTCCCACAATATGGCGCTGAGAGAGGAACAAACAACTTCTACGCAGCTGCCTTGCCAATTTGACTAACAAGTGGCAGGAGCTGATCCTGCTCCTGATTGGAGAAACAGCATGCTCGGCGTGTGGGCAGCAGAGCATGGATTTGGTGGAA